ATCCACAAAAGAAAGAACAAAAGGATGGCATGATAAAAGGATGAGAAAGGAGTGTGATATAGGAGACAAGATGCTCATGAATAGCTCAAGCAAGGAAAGCTTCAAGCAGGAAGAAAAAATCACCACACAAGTCATCTACCCTTCATCAAAGGGTGTCATCACACTACAATGAATAAGGAAACATCTTAAGGTAAGTGGCTATTGTTTAAAAAGCTTACCTTTGATCTACCTATTTGCACAAATGAAGAAACAAACATGTTTGAGTTACAACTTTGTTTGATTCAACATGATTAACTCAATATGTCTTGTTCCTTAAGCTTGTTCATAGCACCACTTTTTTGATCTCATAGTCTTAATCCAATGAGCTAAAATATTGCATATCTTATCTTTGGAAGATGATAGTCATAATCGTGTAAAGTTTGATACATTATGTAAAGATGGACAATCCTTCCATAGGTTAAGCAACTCCACTCTTTTTTGACAAATGTATTCAAATGCCATATTCATCCTCATCCTTCTAATCTTATCACCCATATTGTAAGAATGAATGCACATAATGTCAACTGTAACATAATTCGATGTGCCTAAGGTTAGAGAGAAAAATAAATAAAGTTTTGGTTTTATTGGTGTTTTTCCACCAACAGAGCCCATGCACTTGATCTCTACCTTATCTTTATGAGCAGAATACACTTTGAGCAAAGTTTGGGGGAGTCGATCCACCAAATTCTATAAGTGAAAGTTTTGAACCGGCAATAATAATGCACACAAGATATCATCAGTTTCTACTACTAATAGTTGACTTCGAAATGCTAAACAAGATGGAGGAACAAGTCAAGTAAGAAGAATGAACCTGTCAAACCAAAATCAAACTCAAAACTGAGATCGATTTGGCAAAATAAGGTGGCACCACCATTGGAAGCGCCACTACTAGAGGCGCCATCTCAAGAATCCTCATCTTCAAGAGTGAACCGAGGTACTCGATCAATGATCTTCCACAACTACCGAGGGCAAGATTATGAAGCAACCTCAAGTGGGCATCAGGGAGGATGCATGTATTTCTCTGGCCGAGGGTATCATGACTCTTAGGAGGCTTACTACCGCTTCGACAACAGACTCGTAGCCATTGAAGAGACAAATGATGACATGCAAGGTACGTTACATAATCATGCACAATGGCAGGTAAGCATGGGATACGAGATCTCCAGCAACAACAACAACAGTAAAAATCAAAATTGGGAGGCTCTGTCCTAGAACCTCCACATCCGGTCACCTCGTTGAGCAACCACGACAACAACCAACTTGGGGGACAAGGCATCACCCATGTATCTAGATAAGTATTTCTTTTCCTTTTATTATTCTTAGTTTGTTTTATATATATATATATATATATTAGAAAAAATAACTAAAAACAAAATAAAAATTTATCTTTATAGAAATATATATAGTTATAATGTGTGATCTAAAAAAAATAAAACAAAATAAAGAGAGTGTGTCTAGTTTGCATTAATTTATTTTTACGAGCTGAATAAAATAAAAAGGACTATAAAGATAATATCTTAAAATGGAAATAATGAATATTTGCTCTGTTATAATTTCTTTTAAGTACCTAGTTTTCAGTCTTGAATTCTTCCGAGGTTTGGATAAGATTTTTTATATAAGGATTTACTTTGAACTTGAAACTCGTGGGTAGCATATGCTTGATCTAAGTCTAGGTAATTGACGCATATGATATGAGAAGGTCTGAGTTGTTGTTTATCTTATTCCAAGTGACACTAAAGTTTTAGAGATTTAACTTTTAAAAAATACAAAAATGCTACATGATGAGTTACTGTATGATAAAGCTTGAATTCCTACCAGAGTCATACATATTATTTAGGCTAGGAAAACTTTCACATATATGCTGCTTGTTTTGCATTGAGTTTTGTCAAGCTTTATTGATCCTTATGAGAGGTTTGTCATGCTCTTAAAATCAAGATCATGTACACTCCACCCACATATGCACTACTCCTACACTGGGTAGGCGCAAACACATGTCATTACATTTAGATCCACCCAAAAATGTTTTACTCCTATACTGGAAGTGAACACAAAAACATGTTTGTTAGGTTTGCATTCAAATAAATGCTTCAATTTCTTGTTGCTATCTCTCTAATATTTTGGTTGCAGAAAAGAGGCATGGGGCTATGCAAAAGTTATTCATAGAAAAAGAAAAAGAAAAAAAGAGTTGAGAAAAAATGGACACAAAAGTGTTCGAGACATTTAAAACAATGGTATTCTGTGCGCTTGCGGAATCCTTCATATTATATTTGCACTTATAAATAGCAACATTCACCATGGACTTTGTTTTCAGATCCGGGTTCTCATAAGAGAAATATTTGCAATTATAGAGGTAGCATTGTCGATAACTATTATTTTCTCCCAATATTCTCACAATTTGAGATTATTCTATCTCTTTGTTATTTCTCAAACAAGAGATGATTTATTGTTCTGCATACCCAACACTAATAATGTGCGTATCTAGTGTGTTCGATTTCATCTTTGTGATGATCCTCTTCACGAGGTGCTTAACCTTCTTCATGAGGTGTTCTCTTGATCAAAATGGAGCAGTTTGTTCTTATTTTATTTGATAAGTATACATTAAACTAGAATCCACAGGTGTCCCCGTATATTTTAGCTTGATAGTATATAATATTTAGTTTACTACTAGTAAACACAACTTCTGATTTATAACTTCAAGTTACTTCTTTCATTTTTTAAAAATATATGGCATATGCTCCGCTTCATGCTTCACAAGAGCATTAATCAAACTATTATTTGATTTAGTGCGTGATATTTTTCCTGCTTCAAGCTTCGAGGAATATTTTTTTTAGATCATTTTCCTTCTATGGAAATAATATTTGGCATTCAAAATAGGCTTTCTCTCCCCTAATGCCAATATTAGATCTTTAATAGCATATTTCAAAAGATATCCCCTATCATGGGTTTAAAATAATCAAATTCATACATCTCCAACTCCAAGCGGAGGCCCATTCATTTATGCTATGATAAAATTTTATGGAAAATATTCACGCACATATTTAAACGTGGGGGTTAGTATTCATTAAATGCAGCGAGCTAGAATACACAAAGTGCACTTAAGAATGTTTAGTATTTCTACAAACTCAGGGATGTTCTCTCCCTGATTTGCACATATCATAATTTAAAAAAATTATTTCATTGTCTAGCTTCTTCATTGTTTAGCTAAAAAAATTGATCCAATTACTCATACGTAATTAAAAAAAATGGATCATATACTTCAACTGTATAAATATGCAACATTCAAAATTATATGTAATTTCTTCTATAATTTTTTAACCAAATGCCTTTTCTTCATAAATCCCAAATCATCATTAAGTGTTTTATCTATTAACTTAATTTCCACTATAATTCAGCCCATTCAAGTGGGTCACTTCTCCATTTAGCCCATTTTAGATTGGCCCTTTTAGATTAACCAACTCCCCCTGATCTTAGGCTACTTGGCCCTATACCAATCTATTGCTAATGCATGCGATGCAATGAAAGCAAAATATTCCTTAGTTCAACGAGAACTATATAGACATAGCATACTAGCTTGCCAATGTAATTATGAGGAAAGTGCAAAGGTAGCTACTAGCTACAAATGTATTTGTTATACTAATATTCATGCAGGAGTGGAGATAGTGCAGCTCGACGGGAGCATAACATAGTGATACACATTCATGTGTAATGTGGAATGTTGGTATTCAATCCAACGTAATAGATAACAACAAAATACAAAGGTACAAGCTTGCTTGCAATTAGTGCAATGTAAAGAAAGTTAACTCGGCCGGAAGGGATGCGGCTAGGACTAGAAGTCCTGATACATGCACTTAAAGATAGATTTAGGAAGGCTATGCCTATTAAATATATATTACCCACATTTTCTTATGCCTTTAGTTATTACGGATGCCAATTGATCTACCCCACATACCGTATAGGGCAGTGGTTAGTAGATACATACCGCGTAGGGCGTTTGGCATTGTCGTAGATCTGCCTGCTTGACGACGACGGTGTATGTCGATGCAGTGCAGATTAGTTATAGGTCGAGGTAGCAGATCCTATCCGCTAACAACGTCGAGGATGTCGACGCCGTCGAAGTAGTCACGGCAGGATGTCGACGGTACAAGCGTCGGCATTGAAGATCGGCCACAGCTTCGACGGCGATGTCGACGAAGAACTTGTCGTGCTGATAACATGTTATAAAACATGTTGCTAGCAGTTAGGACCTTCCCCTCTCCGTCTCTCATGATCAACTCAATAAATAAAATATAAGAACAAATAGATACAAGATAGAGAGACTGTTTTTTATTCCTCTGAATATTGATGATTACAACATAGAACTCCCATACTTATATAGTCCTATCAAGTACTAAGAGTTTGGTAGGAGTCTACATGCATACAGACTAGGATTAGGATTCCACCTTCTACTTTTCTTCTAGGAAATGGTACTATTTATAATATTTTTACAGTACCCTTGAAGCGACAAGAGCCATCCAATCCTCCAACTTATTTTTCCATCGAACCTTATATCGCTCAATCATGGCCCATGCAGTACCACACTGGCCCAAGAAGCATATTATGTTGGGCTTGTTTACGCATCGGCTGGAGCAATACAGGTAACCGGGTGCAAAATCAGGCCTGTTTTCTTCTTTGCTATCAGTCCTGGACCCTCCCAAACTTGGACATCCTCTGGCTTCACTCCGTCTGGCAACTTCCAGTTATAGTGGTACAGAAGGCTCGCCAGTGCGAGTTCAATGTTAGCCAGTCCAAGGTTTGCTCCCGGGCACATACGGCGGCCGGATCCGAACGGAAGAAACTCGTAGTTTGTCCCCTTGTAGTCAAGGTTGGTGTTCTCGAACCGCTCTGGCCTGAATTCCTCTGCATCTTCCCAGTACTTGGCGTCCCTGCAGATCGCCCAGACGTTGATGAACACGGATGTGCCCTTAGGGATGTCGTAGCCCATGACCTGGCGTCTCCCGGCACTGCCGCGGGAGCAGGAGCGGCAGTGGGCAGTGCATCCTAAGAGCTTCCTTGATCACAAGCTTGAGGTAGATAAGCTCTGCCCCGGCGAGGTCATCCTCGGTGATTCTGGTCTTCCCCTTAAAGGCCTCCCGAACCTCGGCCTGCGCTTTGGCCATGGTTGCCGGGTACCGCATTAGCTCTGTCATGCACCAGTTCAGTGTCGTCGACGAGGTATCGCTGCCGGCGCCGAACAAGTCCTAGAAGAAACAAGTTCAGGTCAGCACTCAGGACAGGCTGAACGACGATCCAGATGGTGAAAGGCGGTGATATGATCCATGAATCCATCGGGAGAAGCAAGACTTACAAACATGAGCGCCACAATGGTGTCGTTGGTAAGCTCAACGGGCAAGCTGGCCTCTTTCTGCAGCCTGAGCAGGACACCGATTAAGCCCTCGTGCGCCGTCTTCTCGCCACGGTCCATGGCCTCCACCTGCTCGTGGATGATCTGCTCCAGGATGCGCGTGATCCTGTTGCGGCACTTGAGCGCGTTGCGAGGCGCCGTGCCGAGAATCTGCATGAGCCTCGACGACGGGAAGAGGTCGGCCACGGTGAGCACAGACGTCTGCCGGACCGCGGTGTCGAAGGCATCCAGGTAGTCGTCCTGGTACTTGCACCGGCTGCGATGGACTCCCTCACGAAGGTGTCGTTGATGAATCTGGAGATCATCTTGGACAGGTTGACTGTGGCGCCGGCGCCGGCGGACGCGGCGAGGCTCTGCATGAACCGCGCCACCTCCTCCTCGCGGATGCGCTGGAACGACTGCACGCGCGCGACGATGAGCAGCTCCAGCAAGGTGATCTTGCGGAGCTGGCGCCACCGCTCGCCGTGGGTCCCGAACACCAGGTCGGTGCCGTTAAAGGTGAGCACGCCGATGGTGGCGTTCAAGTGACGGTCGGCAAACGTGATGTCGTGCGTCTTCGTGATCGCCTGCGCGGCCTCCGGCGACGACACCACCAGCGTGGGCACCTCGCCCAGCCGGAGCATCATGAGCGGCCCGTGCTTCTGCGCGAGGTCACGCATTGCCCGGTAGATCGATGGGCTGGTGACCAGGTGGTGGATGCTGCCTATCAACGGCAGCGTCCACGGCCCTGGGGGCAGGTTTAGCTTCGGCTTGGTGACTAGCAAAGACTTGAGCTTGGAGACGACGACGAGCAGCACGACCACGGCCACGGCGAGGAGCACCTTCTCCTCCATTATATTATTGTGGCTAGCTAGCTAGCTATCTAGTTTCTGTGTGTATTATGCGACGAGACCACGAGCTGCACGACGACTCCTGCTCGACATGATAGCGGCCATGACCCGTGGCTAAATTTATAGTAGCAACGGTAGTATATTGCATCTTTATATTGAAATAATAGTCGTATTATATTGTGGTGGAAATTAAGATGGACGGTCTAGGTCAAATCCTCGTGGCTTGACGTTTGAATATGTCTCAACCAAGTAAATGGCAGTATCTCAAATGGTATTTCTGCGGTCACTGTACGTCAAAATAAAAAAGGTTTTCTTTTATATTAAGAGGTGTAATGAAATAATTGAATGTATATATTATATGACTAAAATTTGATTGAGAACCAACAAAGGCACAACGGTGTTTTTTTTTTGGCGTGCCTACATTTTCAATGGATTCAAACCGTATAATTTGGGTCACCATCCGGTCCTAAATCAAATCTACTAAGTATGGTTGTCAATCGATATATGTCGAGCTATTGAAAAATACACTTCTCCTATATTTTCAGGTGTCTAAACTTTAAGATGATTTTAGACAACACTTTTATACAAACAACTAGTACAAATAAATTGTTACTTTTGAGATTTGTTATTTGTCCTTGTGCCATAACATATTAAATTTTTGTCCTTATCTTTCTATAGAAATAATTGTAAATAGTTAGTTGTCTTTGTGCCAACACAAATCAGATTTTATCGAGTTTGTTGTTTTATCTAATGGGTTTTTTTTATTCTCGGTACCAAAAATTGTAGATTGCATCTACAGAAATTGCTACGAACGAAATCTGTTATTTTAGTACAAAATATGTGTAATAACCATCGCCTAAAAAAAGCTAAAATTCAGGCACCTAAATTTTAGCAAGTCCCTCAAAAATATGATAACTCAAGCACTTGAAAAAAATTGCTAGTCTTGTCTCGGATCGAGATGTCCTGTATTATATATAAAGCCAAGTCTGCCTCGTACTTCCTCTATTTCAAATTATGCTTGTTTTATCTCAAGTCAAACTTTTCTAATTTTAACCAAATTTATAGAAAAAATATATTAATATCTACAATATAAAATAAATGTGCTATCAAAATATATTTCATGGTGTACCTAATAAATCTTGTTTCATATTTTAGGTACATGTTTTTCATTTTTCTATAAACTTGATCAAACCTCGAAACATATGACTAAGAATAAAACTAAAACAACTTAATTATAATTTAAAAACGATGGAGTTTTCATAAAACTAATAATAAATATCGTACATGTGCCTTGTTGAAGTACCACTTCATGCCCTAGGGTGTTTGGATGTAGACAGCTACGAGCATCTCCATTGGTCTTTCTTAATTAAACCCACTCTCTAAATTATCATTTGGAGAGTCATTCTAGTTGAAGAAGCTATGGGAGGTATTTTCTTTCACCAAAATCTCTATTGCTATCAATATAGAAGGATATAAAGAGTCTCTTGAAGTTGCTCCAATAGTTAGCTGCTCCAATAGTTAGTGGATCAAACATCCTAGCTAATAGTTCAACTAATACCTAATAAAAAGTAACTAGATGGCTCCCTAGAAGCTCTAGTTTCGTTTTGGTAATTAAGTGACAACTAGTGGACTGACAAGGTGCTTCAGTGTTGAATAAGTTATGTCATGTCCACAACCAAGAGTTGAGCTATGGAAACCATGGAGGACATAGCGATGGCCAAGAGATGACCAAGTGCTCAACATTGGATTAGGGAAGAGGGACATGGAAACAAGCCCGAAGGCAAAGGTATAGCATAGGGATTTCTATTTCAACGGTAATAGAGTGCATGGTCGGGTTTAGGATAGATAGTCATTAAGAGTGGAGCTCTAAAGTGATTGTGGTTATCTAGCACCACTAGGTGATGACATTAATTGCATATGCATTAGACCTAGTGACGTGGTGAGGAAGCAAAAAAAAATGTTTTTGAAAAACTTTTGAAAATGCAACTCAATACTCAAGTGGTGTTGTTGAAGTTTGGAGTTAGCATGCTTGCAAAGTGGGTGAGAAGAGCTACTGAAGTTGAGTTTTTCAACTCATCGGAGCTCTCTAGTTAGATCACTGGAGGTTGCAGGTGGTAGCTGTCTCTGATAATTCTGAGATGACACATTAAGTTTCGGTGCTCACCAAAGAGTTCACACAATGCACAACAAATTAGGTGTGGGAAGTTCAAACTTAGCCATCGGAGTTGTCCAGTGCAAGCACCGGAGAGCGCACTAGACCTTTGGTCTAGAGAGGTTGTTTTGGTGCACTTCAGGCCTCAGAGCTTGCCGGATATCTTTGTGTGCTTGCACTGAAGAAATCACCTGAGTGTTGACATCGTTAACGAGTAGTTTTGGAGCCATTGGGAACTCTAGTGTGAGTTCCGGTGCCATCACCGAAGGTCTCTAGTGCACACAACCTTTCAACAGTTTCTTTAAACGGCTAGTTGAGTGTTTGGGCTTTTAAATAGGGCTTGTGGCTGGCCTTGGCCACTCTATTGGACCCTTTTGCTGATTGATACACATATTGGAGCTTGAGTTTCACACTCCACTCACTTTGCTCACTTGAGATTGCATCTGTGTGAGGTTTGGAGTGATATAGTGCATTGCAATAGAGTGTTTGCGTCTTGGCACTATGTGATTATTGTTGCTAAGGATTCTCTTATTATTCTTGGTGGTTGCTGCCGCCTAGATGACTTGGAGCTTATGGAGATCGTTGAGTACCGTTAGGTGATTATGCGGGGACTCCGATCGAAGGGTTTGTGAGGGGCTTTGTGCTCATCCCCATGGGAGCTCATGAAGAGTAAATCTAGTGGAATCAAGAGGCTTGGAGTGTGCTTTGGTGACACGACGCTAGCTTTTACACAAGTGCCCACAATGAGGGTCGAGCTTGTGTGCTCGCGAGGCTCGTAAAGCGTTTGTTTGATAGGACTTGCCTCATTAGGGACATAGGTTGTCGGTAAGTAACCGAACCCCGAGGGAAAATCTTGTGTAACTTGACCTCAATAGTTTGCATTCTATGACTCTTTCATTTACATTCATAATCTTGTGCTTGCGTAGTTGCTTGTGTAGTTCTCGAGTCGAGTAGAAGTAATTTGATTAGTTGCTTTATTTATGTAGCTTGACTAGTTGTTTAGTAAACCATGGTTAGCTTTGAGTGACCTGGTGTTGCTAGTTGTTCATGCTTGCTCACTAGAATCATGTAGGAGGTTTGCATTGAAATGCTAGATTAGGCTTGTAGAACACCTTTGTTACTAATATACTTGCCGAGTTGTGTTTGTGTCATTGAAGGAATTTTAATATGTTATTCAACCCCCTCCCTCAAGCCATCCATAGATCCTTTCACTCCCTCTAGCTAAATGTAGCCAATTATTAGTTATAGTTAGTTAGAAGATCCAAATGGGCCTATCTAATAGCTTCGCTAATAATTAAAATTATTAGTTGGTCTTCCTAGCTAGCAAATATAAAAATTAGTTGTCTTTATCAAACACCATGTTACATTCTTACCTTCTGTAAGCTCTAGTAGGGGCACAATTAGCCTAATGAATTGTGCTTGTTGTAGTAGTTGTTGCTGCTGCTGACACAGAATTTTTGTCCTGTGCCGAGGACACGCAGCAAGCCGGAAGGGTCTGCTCGATGGAGCTGTAGATCTGCCTAGCTTCAGCGCAGGGATGGTCGATCCTGCGCACTCCTCTCGAGACGTGGCAGTCAATTTGACCCTGTAATTGACAAGGAGAGAAAGTTCATCAGTAATTAAGGGCGAAACTTGCCGGTGTTGCCAGACAGTCCCGAATGTGCGGCTATGAGAGCCGATATGAAAGGAGATCGACTAAATAGTCGATCCCAGCATATTCATGAGAATAAATCGATAAAAGCTCATTGAGTTGTATAAGAAGAATCGGTTATCATTCAGGGAAAATGTCATTATTCGAACAGATAATAATCAATGGCAATAAAATGTTAACAATGATTGGTTTGTACTAAGCCAATGATTACAAGTATCCGAACCCCTTTGTATATAAAGAAACGATTCAACATCATTTAACCGTTTGGTAAAGATAAATCTAATGAACATGTTAGATCTCATCTATTGCTATGACCAGTGGGGCATGAGGCAGAATCATGTAGGCCGTAGAAATAACAATAGACTTGATGACCCAAACTCATTACTAATATCAGTGATGCATGAGGCAGAATCATGCAGGCCGTAATACAATAATAAGATCATGGGGCTAACATATCTTTCAACCTATCTTTACTTCAACAGTCTCGTGATGCGAACTATTTGTGAAAGCACTCGATATCGGCTAAACAGCCGATTTAGGCATAGCGCGCAGTTAAAGTCATGCCTTATCAGGAATAGATTTACCAGATAATGATCTCCACTCCATGGTGCTAACAGTGGGGTGTGAGGCAGAATCACATAGGCCATGATAACGGGCCATGGAACAGTTCTCGCTAACTAATAAATCTACTCAAGACGTAACACGCCTTAACCGCACGCTATGCACGATCAGGATTGACATAAAACAACCGATAAAACATAACTCATCGTTTAAAGTGTAGATTAGATTAGTTCTAATTAGCAAACGATGGGCTAAACAAGATATAAGGCCGATCTAGATCAATCCCAATCGGGCAGAATGATATTGCTGTAAATAGATAAATAATGAAAGCAATAAGCAATACCGGTAACTTAATGAATCTACTTAAAGGTGTCATCCTAAGGTAGAGCCGATAACTTGACCTTGATCTAGTTCATGCGGTTGGGGGTCGATCGGATCGATGCGACCATACTTAAACTAGGCAAGAATCGATAACTAACTCGCATCGTGCAGTCGCGGTGGAGGTCGACCGGATCGATGCAAAATTGCATTTAACAGAGAGGTATAAGCCATGACGGTGCCCTTACAACAAGCGGTGGAGGTCGACCGGATCGATGCAGCCATACTTGCTGAAGAACTCGCCGAGATCTACTATACTCC